CTCCGCCAGTGTATAGACTATGGATTTTCCAGAATATCCAATAAAGTGTACAGTGAACGTGGCTTGCAAGATTTTGATAAGTATCTCACTGGATTGGGGGACAGGCGAGTATAAGAATGGGTGGGGGAGCTGAGGAACCTACAGAACATGTGTAACTGAACTGATGGTGCAGTTACATTTTAAAATGCAGTGCTAGGCAAAATATTTTTTTTTAGTTTTGGATAGAGTGGGCAAGGGCTGGACCCTATGTCACGTTTTTTGTGTCTCCTTTGGGAAGATTCACCTCTATTTGTACTGGTGACCATTGTCATGTAGAAATATGAGGGTAAATTTAAAACTTTCCCCAGAAAAAAAGGTAAAACAAAATCTGCCAGAGAGGACATCTGTTCCAAGGTCAACTGACTAAGAGGGGAATTCCCCTCTCTTTGGATGATTTCCTCTAGCTTTCTAGTGTGCCTCTGGCATAGGGAGTGAATGAAAATGTCCTTAATGGTACACAGGCAGCAAAAAATAAACTGGTGGGATTCTAACCATCCCCTACTCTATCCAAAACTAAAACATTTTTGGCTATACATACGCTCTAAGTAAAAACTATTCTATGACACCCCACAACTAAAAACCACTATATACGAGTGGTTATATATATATATAAATATATAAAAAATAGAGAGGTATAGACAGGCCCTAGTTAAAGCCCCGATCTTTATCCCACTGAAATGTTGAACGATTTAAAATTTCAGTTCAAGAAAATCCACAAACATCTTGCAACTGAAGGAAATTTGACTAGAGAAGTAATCAAAATGTCTCTGCTGATGTCAGGGACTGATGGGCAGCTGTGAAAAACACCTTAAAGAAGTAATTTTATATTAAAGGGGCAATACAAGTTTCTGAGGACAATGTTGTACTTACTTTTTCCATAGTACACCATTACATCTATTGATATTTTTGTTTAATAAAATGATCAAAAAACGGCCAGTTTTACTTGTGTTTATTTTTCAAGTATATCACTTTTATCTGTAGGCACTGTTTGAATGAAGATCGAATGTTTGCCTATTCCAATAAGTTGGAAAAAGTCAACAATTTCAACTGCCTGTACTTGCGTATGGTTTTTTGGCTTTAATGTGAAACCATGTTCTTTAAAAATTTTGGCGTAAAGGTGCTGTTAAAAGAGCCAAGACTGCGAGATACCTGCTGTTACCTTCATTAACCCAAATAGCTTCTTCAGTGCTCCTCCTGGCTTCTTCTGACTTTATGACGAAGCCAGGCCAACTGCCATTCCAGTGCCCAGTCAGGCTGACAGTGGCCAGTAAAGGCACTCTCACTGGAGAAGCAGATGGTAGACCTTAACCATCAAATCAAGAAAAGTCAGGTCCCCAGTAACAAAGTAAAACTAAATCAGTGAAGGACACAGTAGAGGCTTTTCTAACCATTAAAGATAATACCAGGTACCTTGTAGTGTCTGCTCTTAGGCAGGGAATTTAGTTCTCTCCTTGGACTGTGATGTATACACGAATTAGCTGCAGCCAGGCATTGTATCATTATTCCTTGTGCTTTTAGTACATTATATTTGTGTATTATTCAAAAATGTATGCAAGATTAAAATGTCCATATGATCCACATACCTACGGAGTAATAAAACTACAAAGAGATTTCAACAATCCTTAATGCTAAACCAAATGTATATAGCACATTCTTTTTTTTAAAAAGAGGTTGCATAGTGTTCTTGGAACCTAGAAGCTCGATTTGCAAAAGCTGGCAGTCTTTAGAAAAGGATTAATGCAGTCATGAGGTAGCGAGCTTATTATGGTTATAGCAGCTTAAAAACGTCAGAACGCTGCAAATGACCATGACTGAAAAAGCCAACAGCAGCCCACAAATTACATTCAGCATGTAGATGACAGAGAGGGAAAAAAATCATTCAGAGTGCTGTCTCAGCTAAGCCTTTCACTTTTCCTACACATCATATATGTGTGCCTAATTTCCATTGCAATTAATTGGGGGAACAGTAAGATCGGCTCCCTTCAAATAATCAGTTCTCTTTTCCCCAGTCTGTTTGGCAGACATCCTCCATAATGATGAAAACCACAATGCGCTCAGAGACTTTGTGATTTCCTTCTCTGCTCTTTTAATTCCACATTTTCAGCAGATGAAAAAGAATATGACAATGAACAATCAGTCCACAGACCGGTAGACTGCCTCTCAATTAGGTTAGCAATAATCTAACTGTGATGGTCTACTGGAGGAAAAAGCTCTGAAATGGAAACTTTTTTTTTTTTAACCATAGAGTTTTTATTGTTTTCGAACGTCAAAGGGTACAATACGGTACTATACAATACGAGGTGCTCAGATATTAATCACAGACCGAGGAGTTATCATTAGGAGTGTAATTTAGCAATCAAATTTCAGATAATGAGTCTATATATGTTCTAAAAATATTTTTTTTTTTTTAAAAGGAGGAACTATAGTGTGCATCACGCGGAAACAAGTCGCAGGTGGTGATGGATAATTATGCACAAGTATAACAAGGCACCGTGCTTCCGGGAGTGAGTGTATGGTATATAGATCATTCAATTGAACAAACGGGTACCGGTGGGTACCTCCATATGTGGAGGCGGAATGACCAAAGTATGGAGCATACATGTAGCAAAGCCCACCTGGGCGATCTTAGGTGTGGGCCTCAGAGGTAGTCCATTAAATGTGTTAGGTCCGTTGGACAGTGACAGGGAAACTCATTTTAGGCAGTCAACCTTTTCTCTTTTTTCTGTGATCATCTATTCCACACCTATCACCTAATCAAAGCTGCAGTTATTTCGTGGGGCAAAGCCTTATCTGAAGCAAACATCATTGAGGTGCCTAAAACAAGCCCCACCAAGTGCCTATTACCTGTCTCGCACACAAAAAGGCATCCACTGTGCACCTCCCTTATCCTGGTTTCTTTTCTTTTTTTTAGTAAAGAAGAAGAAGGTCAGCAATGGCAGTATTTCTCTTGTGAAAGATGTAATTTCAGAAGGTAAGCTCCCACCAGATCATCATAGCCTATTACACCCGTATTGCTCAGTAAGGAACTCTCACCAGACAGGGTGGGTATATACATGGAGCTCATCATAGTCAAGACTTGGCTCCAACATTGACCCCAAAAAAAGTGAAACTAGGATCAGAGGGGTCTTCGGGTGATGCTTTTCTGACTAACAAAGGAAATGGGAGGCACTTTGTGTTATGTTCTTTTAAGTGGGGGTTTCATCTTTTAAATATTTAAAATATCTCTTAAGTTTGCATTAAGGAAAAATTAATTCTTACAAATATTTTTCTTTTGGTTAGGTAAATATGAAGTATTTCATATAAGCATTCTGCATTTTCATATGTAACCAGAATATTAACCCCCTCATGACGGGAGACGTACACTGTACGTCCTGCCACGAAGTGCCTATATGACTGGCCACGTACACTGTACGTGACGAGTTATTTAAGGCTCTGTAATGCCGGTAACCGCTGATTCTCATCGGTTACCAGTCATTAATGAATGCCTCAGTATTGAGACATTCATTAATCAAATAGTTAAGCTTCTGTAAATGCTTCTTTCTTTCATTAATGAAAGAATGAAGCCGTTACATACAAATACGGGATCGCTAAATAGCAATCCCATATTTGACTGCTGAAAATAGCAGAGAGGTAGCTGAGTGACTCACCTCTCTGCTATTCCTTAGACAGCTCGATAGCCCGATGTTTGATACATTTCAGGCAAAGAGATACAAAGTATCTCTTTGCTTGAAATGTATCACTTCTGATTGTCTGAGCACAATCAAAGACCTTTAGTGAGATCTGAATCTGACATGCTGTCAGGATCACTCTCTATGGTTATTATTAGCTGTTCCTAAGTTTGGAGCAGCCTAATAATAGCCAAAAATTAAAAAAGTTAATTTATCGAGCAGTCATAGTGACTGCTTGATATAAACTGACACCAAAAAAAAATAAAAAAAGTGTTTTTTTTTACAAAGTGTAAAAAAATAAAGTGTAAAACAAAATTAGGAAAATAAAATTATAATAATTTTATATAATATAATTATATAATAATATTTTAATTCTAAAAATAAATAATCAAAACTTGTGACAAAGGTGTTTTCTTCTAGTCTTTTTCTTCATGTTTGATATAATTATATAGCCCTATCTGTGCTTTAAAAAACAATATATAATATGTGTGGGTACATTTAGAAAGAAAGTATATTACAGCCGTGTAAGAATCACACAGCAAAAATTTAAAAAGTGTGTCAGTCATTTATGAACAGAAACTGAAAACTAGCTCAGTCATGAAGTGGTTAAACTGTGTACCCATTTATAAAATATATGATCTACCAAGAACTGCTAAAATAAATCAGATAATCCCAAATACGCAATTAAGCCCCTCTAACATTGTCACTGGGGTAGATGTAAAGACAGTTGAAAAACAAGGTACTTTTCATGGTTCAGGGTATATATATATAACGTTTTACCAATCACTGACATGGCAAAACAATAAAATGTACATTCCGAAAAAAAAAATTAATAAAATTGACCAGTTTTCAGTATGCATCATATTTCTAATCTAAATAAAGGGCATATACACCATTCAGCCAAAACATTATGACCACCCACCTAAAATTGAGTAGGTATCCCTTTTGCCGCCAAAACAGCTCTGACCCATGGAGGCATGGACCCTGCTAATCCTCTGAAGATATGCTGTAGTATCTGGCACCAAGACATCAGTAGCATAGCTTTTAGGTCCTGTAAGTTGTGAGGTGGGGCCTCAATGGATCGGATTTGTTTTTCCAGCACATCCCACAGATGCTCGATTGGATTCAGATCTGGAGAATTTGGAAACCAAGGCAACACCTTAAACTTGTCCTGTTCCTCAAACCATTCTTGCAGAGTGGCAGGGCGCATTATCCTGCTAAAAGAGGCCACAACCATCAGGGAATATCATTTCCATGAAGGGGTGTACTTGGTCAGAAACAATGTTTAGGTACACGTCAAAGTAACATCCACATGAATGGCAGGACCCAAAGTGTCCCAGTAGAACATTGCCCAAAGCATCACACTGCCTCTGTCAGCTTGCCTTCTTTCCATAGTGCATCCTGGTGCCGTTTCTTCCCCAGGTAAGCGGCACATGCACCTGCCCATCCACATGATGTAAAGGAAAATGTGATTCATAAGACCAGGCAAAAATCTTTTATTGCTGCATGGTCCAGTTCTGATGCTCACATAAGACCAGGCCACCTTCTTTTATTGCTGCATGGTCCAGTTCTGATACTCACATGCCCATTGTAGGTGCTTTTGGCAATGGACACAGGTCAGCATGGCCACCCTGATGGGTATGAGGCTACGCAGCCCCATACCCAACAAACTGCGATGCACTGCGTGTTCAGAAACCATTCTATTGAAACCAGTGTTGACTTTTTCAGCAATTTGAACTACAGTAGCTCTTCTATTGTATCAGACTTCACTCCCCATGTGCATTAAAGCCCATGGCCCTGTTGCTGGTTCACCGGTTCTGTCCTTGGACCTCTTTTGGTAGGTCCTGAACACTGCACACCAGAGACATACCACGAGAGCTGCAGTTTTGGAGTTACTCTGACACAGTTACCTGGCCATCACAATTTGGCCCCCGTTGAAGTCACTCAAATCATTACGCTTTCCCATTTTTTCTGCTAACAACACATCAACTTCATGGACAAAATGTTCGTTTGCTGACTAATATATCCCCCCCACTTCCAGGTGTCACTGTAACAAGATAATCAATGTTATTCACCTCTCAGTGGTCATAATGTTATGGCTGATCGCTGTATACGTCTTTCATATATTAGTAAGCCTGCGCAAGTGTAGCCATTTAACGTTAAATATTCATATTCTTGTATAAGCCCGATCAGCTCTAGTTAAGTGACTGATTTCTCTTCTTTTCTTTTACTTGCCATTTAGTTATTGATAAAAATAAACTATTATTAACACTTTTAATTTCTGAAAGCATTCTTACTTTACAGCATTACAGCACACCTGCCTAAAACTTTTTGCACAGTACTGTATAATATAATAAAATGATAAAATTAAAAACCATACATATAAACTCATCTTAAGTTTACCTCTTCAAGACATAATAGGTTATCCTTCATTTAGTCAACCCACTCATGCTGGCAAATGCTTCCAGGTGCTCACAAAGGCAGTAGGTATAAGAGAGTAAGGCACAGTGGTGATACTATTCCAAGAGTCCGAGATTGGATCATAACAGTCTAGGGTTTTACATCTTTGAGTCCCAAAGTATCCACCAACCACATAAAGCTTATTTCCTGATGCTAGAGCATGACAAGACATCCTTTTGGAGGTCATATCTCCAATTCTAGTCCACTGGTTTGTTTCACAATCAAAGCGATAGGCAGAGGCCGCTGTGAATTCTGTGTCCCCTCCCATAATGAAAATCTGGCTACCCAATACAGCAGCAGCAGTATACCGCCATGGTTGTGGACATTCTGCTTTTATATTCCAACGGTTCTCAAAAGGATCATAGCATTGCACTTTGGAGACACGGTCTCTATGTATACTTGTGCCTCCAAAGACAAACAGTTTTACCTTGGCGCTGACCACAGCTGCATTGCTAACACCATCTCTCAGTGGTGCCACCATTGTCCATTTATTTGACAGGGGGTCATATCTCTCCACTTGCTTCAAAGAAACTGAAGGTGATGCTGGGAAAATGCCAGCAACTGCTGTATGTCCTCCAACAACATAGAGACAATTTTGCAACTCTGCGGAGCCATGTCCAAACCTTGCTATAAGCATTGGCGCTGCCTTTGCCCATTCTTCATGAACTGTGTCATACACCCAAACGTCTTTAGACACTCCATTTTCAGAGCCCCTCCCACCAGTGATGTAGACCTTACAACCAATGGAACAAGCACTAAATTCTTTTCTCGGACTTGGCAGGTCAGCTTTTGGAATAATTTCTTTAGCTTTGTGGTCAACCTGATAAATTTTATCACACATAAAGGTCTGTCCACCCAGAATCAGCAGGGTGTGTCCTGCTTTCCTAGGTTTAGCACACAGGCTAGTCACTATGCCATCATTCTGCAGTATCTTTCTCTTGCAATGAACAGCTTCCTCCATAATCAATTTACTTCTCTCATCAGCCATTACTAAATTCTCACAAGCAATGGCCTCCTTCAGAGAATCTGAGGTAAGCAAAGCCAGCCTAATGTTTTTTAGCAATTCAGGAAAACCGTCTTTTCTCTTGTTCAAGTCGTACTTAACCCACTGTAGTATAGCATTAAAAACCACCTGCTCATCTTCAATTTCAAGTTCATCACTAGATACCAAGTCAAGCAAAATGTCTTTTGACAGGTTATTAAAGTCTTCTGTTCTGTGCACAGTTTCAAAATTCACCAAACACATTAGCAAAGACAGTTCATACAGTCGTCGGCATTGATGGGCATCAGATAGCATCAGCATTCCCAAGCAATTTGAGGGATACAGATTTTTTTCCAAGAACTCGGCTGCTGCATCTCGTACATCATGAAACTGAAGCATGTCTCCTGCCTCCAGCAGGGACTCTGCATTTTCTTCATTAATTATGATTTTAGATGAATAGGCAAAGTCAAGCAAAAGTTCCAATACTTCGGGATGAATACTGTCATGGAAATTCACAGTGTTATCAAGGGTTTCCCTCAATCCATTACTAAACATGGCCTCAAAGTACTGGCTGCAGGCTGCCAACACTACACGATGACATGGAAAAGAGCGGTCTCCTGCCCACAGGGTGACATCAGTGAAAAGCTGCTGTTTCCGCATGACATTAAGATGGCTTAGGACGCAGTCTGGATGAGCAAGCTTGTGATATAAGGAAATATTCATAGACCCAGTACTGGTCCGGGATTTCCTATTTTCATGCACACTGACAGACATGATGGCATCTAAAGCTGAGAGATGGAAAAAAAAAAAATTGCAAGCAGGACATTAATAGTGCTACCTTTAAACACTTCCATATAAAACTATTTATGATGGATAAGATTGTTTTGTTTTTTTAAACAAAAAATGAAATATGCATGTACCTTATATTAATTATGGATGCACCGATACCGGTATTTTGGTACCGAGTACGAGTACCGATAATTTTTTTCCGGTACTCGCCGATACCAATCACCGAGTAACAGAAGTCCCATTCAGGAAGCCAGGTGGCGTGTAATGACTCGCCACCTGGCTTCCTGATTGGCCGGGAAGCAGGGCAGCGTGTAAAGAGTCGCCACCCGGCTTCTCGATTAACAAAAAAGTCCCCTCTTACCTTAGTATGTGCAGCCTGTCATCCCTCGGGGCTTCTCCAGCGAGGGAGCATGAAGCCAGCTTCCCGGCCAATCAGAAAACAGGGCGCCGCGCCATTAGACGGCGCCCGACTTCCTGATTGGACGGCTCGGACTGGGTACCGGACGAAGGCCGCATTCTCGCTGGAGAGGCCCCGGGGGATGACAGGCTGCACATACTAAGGTAAGGTAACCTTACTTCACGAGGCCAGCTTCCACTCAATCGCCAAACCGGGCAGCGTGTAATGACGCGCTGCCCGGCTTCCTGATACCGGAAGTACTCGTGCTAGGCATCGGAGCATTTGGGCGAGTACAAGTACTTGCCCAAATACTCGGAATCGGCACCGATATCGATACTAGTATCGGTATCGGTGCATCCCTAATATGAATTATTGCCCTATCATGGCATATGGACTTATAGGTATACATATGGCTGCCACCACCAGGAAGTGAATGCATTCAATGAAAGTTTAATGTACAATACAGAGGAATAACCCTAGGCATCTATGATTACTAGGGTGACTGCGGCCTTCTATACCCTGGGATAGCATATAAAACCCCTAGAAGCAATCTAAGTTAGGTGTGTTCCATAAAATTAAAAAAGGTTTTCCCCAAGTGTAAATTACTCATTTACCAGTCAGCTATACATAAAGTGTAAGGCCCCATTCACACAGACTTTAATGGCCAGCAACAGATTCCTGCAGCAAAAATTACCGGTAGTTTTAGAAAGCTTCAGTCGAGAAAGTCTTTACAAAGCAATGACAGGCTTACTGGAGCTGCAGCGGTGTGCGGTTATACACATGTATCCGCATAGCCAGTGGTCACCTCCGGCTAGGGACAGATGTCCGGCAATAGATGCAGACAGAAGTTTACAGATATGAAGTGTGCATTCACTATATTTTAACAGTTCACATAAACTGGCACATAAACTGGCCCTGAGTTACATAGTGAGAATTTAGCAGCACATTAACATAAGCCAATACACAGTTTTGATATTCTTATGGAAACTACTTCATCTGACCACATTCCACACAAGATTATAGTTCATTTCTATTCCCATTAAGTTTTTGTTAAAATTAAGTACCGGGCAAAACTCTCGTTCCTATTACATAATTGCTGCTTTTTTTTTTTTTTATCTGGTTTTAACTAGCAAATAAAATTCAATCTAGAAATCTGCACAAAATCGACTTGATCATATTGTATCTTTGTGGTAAATTAACAATTTATGGGATACTGTTGTACTCAAAAGATTTTGAGGATTACAGTTTAGGGGAAATAACAGGGTACGGATAAAAGAACTGGGGAAAATTAATTCCTAATTAATCCTTATAAGCGAATAACTTATGTTATATGTGCCCAAACATGTCAGGACTACTAAAGCGAAAAAAAAAAAAAGAAGATATTGCATACCCAACACAAACTCAAAAAAAAATGTTTAAGGCCTATGGAGGGACAGAGGCTGTGGTCTTAAATTTGTTAAAAATATGTATTACATTTCCAAAATGAAGCTGCAGCATGGAGTTTACCTTGTGAATCCTTGCTAAACATGAAGCTTTCCATACTAATGTTTCCAAGCTAGGAACCAGGATTTGTACCTGAATTGCCCCCAAACACTAATAGGCTTATTAAATAGAATGCAAAAAAGCAATGATTATAATTAACGTGCAGAACCATGGAGCAACAATTTGCTAAATGAAATGGAGATACAGAAAATCAATTGACTGCTATAGTTACCTCCTAATTGGTCTTTGCATGCTTCATAAAATATTCCCAACCTAAAACCTTAGTTTGAGGTTATACTTACAAACAGATTCTCATAAAAAAAACAAAAAACACACACTTCAATCACTCAATTACTTTTAACACTTTTGAAGCAAAGAAAATAATGCTCTTCTTGAAATGTACCAATCATGGTGAATTTGTGACCACCAAGAACTGCTTTGTATTGGCTCCAAGAATGTATATTTCACAAGAGTTTCGAAATGAAGATCTCTGATTTATGGAGCGTTACAGTGGTTGTGGTTTGGAAAATTTTGCTATAAAAAAGGTATTTTCACACTTTCTTATGTAACACTTGAATAGAAGTTTTTTCCTGTGAATCCTGGGTGGTAGGGTAATCTATACAGTCATTCCAGGCCAAGCATTTGAGTACAGTAACACGTGTAGACTTTGCAAACAATAGCATATGTGACACTAACATATTGCAAATCATTGCAGATATCAATTTAAGTTATACCTGCCAAGCATACAGTGCAAATGCAGCCATTCTGTTAGCTGTCCTTGCATTTAGCCTATCAATTAATTGTAGTAATATTACTACGTTGTGTGAGGCCTCAATTACATTAAAGCAATGCATTCCATATAATACTGGTTATCTCATAGGAGGGAAACCAATATGATTATTATTATACAGAATTTATATAGCGCAGTGCTTTACAATATAAAGAAGACATATAAAGAAGACATTACAATCACAATTCAATTCAAGACAAGATGGTAAGGAGGGCCCTGCCCCTGAGGGCTTATAGTCTAAAAGGGAGGGACAAGTGATACATGAGGAGGTAGTTGTGTGGGGATGAATTGTGTGAGAACGTGATAGTTGAGTGGTTAGTTTGAGGTGGGATATAATTGTGGAAGACATCTGAATGCAAGACCAGAATTCGGAAAAAAATCCCCAGCTGAGTCTCACAAAGATGTTTATCTCCAGACAGCCCTATTCTAACTACTGTCTGAATGTGCCCAGTAGAACCCCATAGACTTCTATAGGACCAGGAGACCCCTAACCCTTTAAGGCAGTCATAAAAATCAATACTAACAAGTAGAGGTGCACCAAAATTGAAATTTCAAAACCAAAATAAAAAAAATATGTCAGACCGAAAATGTTTTGTATTTTCATTTTTTTAACATATTTTATTTATTAATTTTTTAGTAAATATTTTTCTTTTAACCCCTTCATGACTGAGGCCCTTTTTTCAATTTAGATTTATGTACAAACACTCACTGATCGCTGAGTGTTTGCATTGGCTCTCCTTTCGGACAGCTGTCACAGGAGGCTGAGCGAGCAGTGAGGTGAAGAGAGCTCAGCCTCCTGCGACAGCCCTGGCTATCTCCGCCCACACACCGCTCTCCCGTTCTGTGACAGGAGGCTGAGCGGTGTGGTAGGAGAGACGCTGGCCGCTCACAGCCCTCTCATCCAGCAGTGCTTGGCCGGCAGTCACAGTTTCTCTCCTCCCCGCTGGGACACAGAGCAGCGCCCAGCGGGCAGGAAAGAAATCATGGATGCTTTGCTGTATCGGCAGGAAAATGACACTTTCAGCATTTAGCCAAAAGTGCCATTTTCGTCCGATATGTTTTAGCGGCCGATATATCGGTGCATCCCTACTAACAAGTGATAATTCCAGTTTTGAACATCCTTTACAACTATCGGACCATTTCCCTTTCCAAAAGCACCATCAGTGGTCAGGAGTACTTATTGTATAGAGATTTTCCAATCGGTTGAATAGAGAGAAAAGCTCAGGACAAATTGCACATTTTACCAGCTAAAGCTTGCCATACACCTATAGATTATCTGCAGATTTTTTATGGTCAGGTGGAAAAAGTACAACAGATTCCTCCATCTATGCTTTGTGGATGGAGGAATCTTCCACTGAGCCAAGCTTCAGTTACTTACTAGTTGGCCCCGCTGGCTCTCAAAATACCTGAACAATGGCTGATTCCAATCAGATTGTTCAGGTATTTTGAGAGCCAGCGGGGCCAACTAGCAAGATACTGAAGATTCCTCCATCCACACAGTTTAGCGTAGATGGAGGAATCTGTTTTCTGTCTCCACTTTTTCCATCTGACCCTAAAAAATCTGCAGATAATCTATAGGTGTATGGCCAGCTTAGGTATCGCTGTGGGGCCTTGATGGAGCTCCTCCCCTTTAAAGAAAGAAAGTGTCTACATCATGTGATTAGATGGACAGATATCTACCCAGTAATGATGGAGAGGACCAACTGTATATGATGTGTAGTGATAAAAGATCGAAGCATCACCTAATCCTGTGAGAAGGTCAGAAGGACTAATGAAGATCTCCAGGAATTTGAAAAGATAACCTTTGCAGTGGGGCTACCCACAAACTGCAAGGTTTAACTGCTAATTTTTCTCTAGGGGTGATAACAAAGAAGAAATACTCACCCCATCCTAGGTCCTGCAGCAGTGACTGCTCACCTCACTCCCCCTCACGTCTAATACACTGAAATAGACATGATGATGTCACAGATCCTTAGACCGGGGAGAAGAGGCTACAAGGACCGCTCTAGCAGCAAGGCGGGACCGAGGAGTTAACCCTCCCTTGCAGTGCAGGGGTAGCTACAAAGTGAGAAATAACTTTCTCTACAAAGAGAAATAACCCTGTGCTCAGCAATGTTTCATACCATCTAAGAGTTAAACAAGAGATCTCTACATACTGACATGATATCATCTGTCATGCGGTTTCTCTGGGAAATATTACCTAAACCAGCATGGTACTTTCATTACCACAATAGTATTTGTTTAGTGAGATCATCGAATATAGAAATATAACTTAAAGGAAAATGCTTAGAAATTGTGCTTACTCGGTGCAAAAGACAATGGAGTGAGTCA